CTAGACCAAAGGGGAGCCCAGAATTCTGCCACTCTGAACCAGCAGAGTTTTCCAGCTGCCTGATAGCAGCAGAGTGCGGCAGCATCTATGCTTGCTCAGACCCAAACCTTCAAGATGTTAAATAAAAACAAAATGTAAGTCTTTACACCAATGGAGGAAATGTTTCAAGACCTATATACATTTCCCATGGCTCATCACACCCTGTGTTTCTCTAGGCCTTGTCATCTCCTATGAACAATGCCATAGTTTCACGGTCCATTATAATTCTTAAAAAATCCCTGTGCCTTATTCTTTGGAAAGGTTGGCCACAACCCAGCATGTCTCAGCCAGCCCTTCATTTTTATCAGCCTCGAAAAAGCATTGGCAAATTGAGTTTCAAGACTGGATTTTTGTGCTCTTTTGTTGCGTTATTTCTGTCATGACAATGAGGGACCCTTTGATGTGTCCCTTTAATCTCTTTTCTTACAGGGGAACAGCAGTCATTATACTTCCTCATTTGTCTAAACTTAATTTTTGGTTTATAACTTGAAAGGGGGCTTATGGCTCCCAGTGATAAAAATAGGCTGGCCCCAGGTGACCCCTGTGCCTTATTGTGTGATGTAGAATATTTTTCATGGATGGAAGGTTCCTGGAGATTCTCTGCATGGTGTGCCGTATCTGCCTTTGTCCTGCCAATGGTGAGCTTGGTTTCTCAATGCATGGGAGCTCGGGAAGGATCAATGAGCCTCCTCCAGACTTTGGGAAAGGTTTTCCTCTTTTGTCTAGCAGCTGTTTGCAGAGCTCATGTCTCATGCAGTTGTACCTTCCACTTGACCAATTCTGATTTTCAAGGAGTTGGTTTTTTTTCCAGTAAAGTTTTGTGCCTCTTTTAACAAGTTGCTGATTCTGTTTTCATAACTTTCTTGCGTCGTTCTAATTTCTTTTCTCATGTTTTCCTCTGCTGCTCTTATTTGGTTTTTACAATATTTTTTTTCTTTCTTTTTTTAATCTCTTTCTTTATCTCAGGAATTCTTGTGGGCTTTTGTCATATCTGCATTTTTCCTTTGTGGCTTTGCTTGTAGATGTTTTCGGGTCATTGTCTTCTTCTGGGTTTGTGTCTTGGGCATCTTTGTCCCCAGAGTAGCTCTTTGTGGTTGGGTTCTTTTTCTGTTTGTTCATTCTTCCAGCCCATTCACTGACTTTGCACTTTGTTAGCGTTGGGCTCTGCTGGCCTCTGAGAGGGCTTGAGCATCTGCCGCTTTCACAGATCAGTCGGGGGGCCTGCCCTCCTGGCCTGTGTTCTCCAAGTTCCTGGCCTGGTTCGGGTCTTTTGGCTGCTGGACTCGGTCACTCTTAGCCTCCTGGAAGGTTTTGTAAAGCGACATGAGCAGTACTAAAGGCTGGGACTGAGTCTCTGCTCTGCTCTTCGGCCCTGAGCCTCTCAGCTGGGGTTCTGGGACTTGTTCCTTGCTCCGTGCATAGCTGGAGCTTCTCACTGGTGACTGTGACCTCTCTGTCCCACCCTGGAACTGTGACCTGGGCCTGGGTAGTAGGAGACGGAAAGTCACCTGGAGATCCAGACCACTTGTCTCTGGTCTGGGTCTGTGACTGGGAACTGGGTAAAATGCCAAGTGACACCCGTTCCCACTCCCAGGTCTGACTCAGAGGCCCCCTGGGACCTCCTCCTGCCCTGGTGGTCAGTCTCAGGCCCCTGACTGTTCCCGGGAGCTTCTATGCTCCTCACCCTTCCCCAGTGTCCACAGGCCTGTCTTGTCTTCTGGGCTGGAAAAATGACTCCCTGTCCTCTTTCTGAGTTTTCTCTATCAGAATTTGGTCTGGTGCATTTTCTGAGATGTTGTGGAAGGGGTGTGTTGGAGAGCTGGGCAGAAATGCTGACTCTGCCATCTTGACTGCCTCAGAATAGGGGTCCTTCATTTTGATCTGTGTTTTGCCCTCCTTTGCCAGTCTGGTGAAGCCTGTGGTCCTTTCTCAGAATCATGTTTTCAGTCCATTACAGAGGACAAGTTGGAGAAGGATTCCCTGTGGAGAATGAGGCCTTCCAGATATTCTTGTAGATAGGTGGTAAGGTGCAAGTTGAACTTTGTCCCAGAGCTTTGCATAGAGTTTGTCTGGCCACACCAGAAAGGCCGAATGCAGGAGGAATGTCTGCGGCCTGCATTTGGGTGGATGAGCTAGAGACTGTCATTGTGTGTATCTGGGATAGTGCAAACGGCCACCAACGCGGGCCCAGGCTTAAACAGGGAGAGGGGATGATCATGTCGTATGAACCTTCCTCATCCCCCACAGTCACGCTGGGGAGGGCATGGAGATGAGTGGCACAGTAGACAAGAGTTCTGGGCCTGGAGTCAGGAAGATCAGAGTTCAAATCCAGCTTCAGGTACTTGTTAGCTATCCTGAGAAAGTCACCAAGCCACTTTCCTTACCAAGCCAGGGTTGGAAGGACCAAAGGAGTGAAGTGCTTGGCACAGCGCCAGAGCACATAATTTCTGTAAGAATTTTAGCTACTATTGTTATCATAATCAATGTCAATATCAGCATCATTATTATTATCATTATTTAGTGAGCATGGATGGGTGGTGATGGGCATGGTTAGAAGGAACATCTAAATCAGTGCTTTCTAATCATCTGGGTCATTTAATCAAAGCATATATATTCTAGGGTATTAGAGACTCTGCATCTGAAAAACTGTAATCCAGACCCTGTAACCACCCTGTGACTTTTGGAGGTAGCACATTGAAATTGGAGCCTTTAAAAATTATTATTATTACTGTGATTGATGTCTCTGTCCTGAAAGAAAGAGAAGATGCCAGAGGTGGCTGGGGCTTCAACATAGTCGTGGAAAGAGAGCACACAGGTCAGAAAAGTACAGTGAAGTGGTAGAAAATAATGTTGCAAGGCAAAATTAACAGAAAAGGTGAGATTGAAATAATCTTATGTCTATAAAACCTTAGAAATAAAGACTAGTAAGAAATAAAAAATGTCCATTCCTGTGTCTAGATAAAAGTATCAGGCTAGATAGATATGAGTTTAAAAATAAGTATTTTGAGGACCTCCCGTTTTTCCTCATATTTCTGACATATCTCTAATGAACCAAACAGCCCTGGAGGAACCTAAAAGTCTTTCCTGGGGAAAATATCTCCTTGGGTAATGAAGATAAATCTGGTATTTGACAGTGATTACAAATCATTTCTCTGTTCACAAAAGCCTTCGTTCTACTTCTTCCTTGTCCTTTTCGGTCAGTTATTCGGTTTAGAAGGCACCTGGCTTCCTGGTAACACATTTTGTGATATGAGCCTAGAAGAGGCCTTCTAGGACATGAGGCTGTGTTGACGTTTTCTCCTTGTCTTCTTCCTTGCTTCGTGTCTTCTTGGTGCTTCCTGCCCGGATATTTGTTGTAGATGTCATAGAATCAAGGCTTGTTTGGAGACATCTTGGTTTGAGGTTGCCTCTGTGGCGTCAGGTTCCGTGAAGCCTTCTCAGGCACGCTCTGAAGACCCTCTCCTGCAGGGACAGTGGAAGGCAGGCACACTGGGTTTCTTAGAGCTGGGGTCGTTCTTCTCGGCCAACTCTCTGTTTATTGAACTTGTCACTAAGATTACAGACGTTGCATCCCTTTTGCTTCAGTTAAACTACTCTGTTCCCCACCTTTGGCACATACTTTCCACTTCCTGCCTTTTTTCCATGTGCTCTCCTTGTTCCTTTCTGCCTAGGCCAACCCCACCCCCTCCTTCAGTGTCCAGATCAAAGAAAACCCATCTCCTTGAAGTGCACCTGGCCGTTAGTGTCTTTCCTTCCTTCACTTTCGGAGCCATTGCCCCTTAGCCAGTCATTGCCTTGCAGTCTCTCGAGGGGCTTTTACCTATTTTCCCTCCTCAGTTTTGGACAGAGGATTTACCATGGAGACTCATCTCTTGTTCTTTAAGGATCAGGCCTGTCCATCAGTTGCCTTTCTGCCCATGTAGCTGGCTTGCCCCCTTTTCTGCTCATGCCTGCCCTCCATAATACATCTTAGACCATCCTTTGTGAGGATGTCTGAGTTGGCATCATGCTGAGGATTCTCAGGGCCACTGTGCACCTTCCCGTTGCTTTGGAGTCAGTTACCCTTTTAATTATAGTGAGATCATGGGGTGCCTTGAAGGGAAGCCTTGCGGCTTTACTGGGGGAATACTCTTATCCCAGTAATAGATTTTCATGGCAGTGAGCAGATGGCGATCATGAGCAGCCCTGGACGGTCCCCGGTGTGATCTGGCACAGTCAGCCCAGCCAAGTATGCAGGAAGTTGGCCACCACCATAATTATTCTGGTCATAGCATCCCTTGAAACAGGTGGATGGCCGGCCATCCTCTGGGCTCCTCTGTGGTTTGGGCAGTTTCAATGATGGCACTTCCAGAGATGCAGCTACATGTGCGCTTCTGTTACTTAATGTCCATGCTTTTACCATTAAATGGTGTCTTCTCCAAGGGCATGTCCCTTCTAATCTATATTTTATCTACTGCAAGTCAAGGAGGGTATACGTAGGCACTCAGTTAATGCTGTTTGCTTGATTAGCTAGATCGAGCTTTGACAGAGAATTCAAGAATAGAAAACCTGTCCTAAGTCTGTCAGTTCCTACTCTGCTAGATTCTTTTAGGTCTAAAATTCAGTAAAAAAATCCCATTTATTATGAGGCTCTTATGTTCCCTGAGAAGATGCTGTTCCAGACCCTAGAATTGCAGCGACATCAGTGAAATAATGCATGCCCTCTCCTGTTACTGGCGTCCTTCCAGGGACAGGAGGACTCTCATACGTGGTGCAGCTGCCAGTGGCTTCAGTCCACATGATGTCAGAGCGGTTGGGAAGGCGAAGCGTGGAAGCAGTGGTTGGCTCTAGTAGGAAGTATCTTAAATCTTTTACAGATTTGTAAAAAATGGAATTTGCTAAATAAACTGGTTGTATTCAAGTAGCATTTTGTGTTTTATATTCTCTGAGTTTCAGTCATTTGAATTTACCCTCTTTTTCAGTGTGTGGTCTTTGCTATGACGTCAGGACAAATGTGGAATCATATCCGGGGACCTCCGTATGCTCACAAGAACCCTCAGAATGGACAAGTGGTAAGTTTCTGTGCAAAGATTGACAAATATGATTGTGTTTAGCCTATAGAAACAAGAATTCTATGTGTGTTATTAGTTACAAAATGGTCATCCTTCCCTCCTCCTCCCTCCCCCCAATATCCTGATTGGATTGGTGACTCTGTAATGTTAGAGAGAGGCGGGGGACTTGGAAACGCTCTCAGCTGCTCCTCTTCTCCCAAGGTTATGAGCGCTTGACCCCAGCCTGGAAATTGGCTTCCAAAGATCTCTCCCAAACAGGTGCACTCCCAAGCAGATCACATGACATGGCGGGAGCGGTGCCTGTTTTATATGGACTGTGAAGGCCATTCTCAGTGCCGTAACAGGGTGGCTTCTTTGCCGTTCTGAGCCTCAGAGGCTCAGGCTTGAAGGAGTTTGTGCTGCCAGCTTGAGGGGAACGCCTCCTCTGCGTTGCTGCTTTTCTGACCTTCTGTGGCTAGCAATCTGGCATTCGCAAAGCACCTACTGTGTGCTGGCCCTGTGCTGAGCACGTTACAAATAGGATCTTATTTGATCCTCACAACAACCCTGGGAGGGAGGGTCTCTTGTGAACCACCTATGAGGAATCTGAGGCAAACAGAGGGAAGTGACTTGTCCAAGGTCACACAGCTAGTATCTGAGGCCTGATTGGAACTCTGGTCTTGCTGCCTTCAGGCTTGGTTCTCTGTGCACTCTGGTGTCCTCTGGCAGTCCAGTCTACACTGTCATCTCTTCTGAGTCGAGTCCCTTGCTTCTTATCCTGTTGAAGCACCAGGCCACTGCCCCATTGGTCACGGTTGTCCCTATACAGAGGCTGCTGAGCAGGGCGGGGGGGAGGAGTTCATGCCCTCGCGCTGACTGGCTCCTCCCCAAATCAGTGTCACTCTGCTTACTCACACGCACCACTGTCTCCACCTGAATAGGCGGGTGGCCCTTCCCCTGGCCAAAGCCAGCTCCTCTCTGTGCACAAGGGACCCGATTGCGTTTCTGCTCCTGCAGCAGATTTCTCTCTGACTTAGCCTCTCCCTGTCTGTCTCTGCTGTGACCTGCAGACACGCGCCAGTGTCTCCCACGTCCTCCATCTGTGCATTCTCAGCTACTCTGGAGATGTCTGCCTCCACTTCCTCTCCTCTCACTTTCTCCTCCAGTCCCTGCAGCCTGGCTTCATCAGCCAACAGATCTGCTCCCTCCAGATTTATCAGTGGTCTTTTAATTGCCCAGTCCAGTGGCCTCTTCTCTGTTGTCCTCCTCCTCCTTGACCTCTGCAGCCTGTGACACCATTGATCCCTCTTTCCTCCTTGACCCTCTCTTCTCTGGGTTTTCAGGACATTCCTTCCCTCCTGATTCTCCTCCTACCTCTCTGGCCACTCCTCCTCAGTCTCCTTTGCCGGGCCCTCTTCCCGCTCGAGCCCTCTAACCTTGGGTGCCCCACAGGGCTCTGTCCTGGGCCTTCTTCTCCCGTTTTTCTTTACTACTTCACTTGGTGGTGAGCTCATCAGCTCCTGTGATTGGATGACCCTGCTATTACCCTGTACCGAGAAAGGTGTGGCAGTGACCTGAGCCCAGCCTCAGATTCCCTGTACCCTCTCTTTCCTGACCTCCCCTCCTGTGCGTGGATTGTCTTCCCCTCTTATGTAGCTCATTGGGGGAAGGGACTGTCTCACTCGGGAGCGTGTCTTCCTAGGGCTTATTGCAGTTCCTGGTGCAGAGTCAGGACTTGATGCGTTTTGTTCATTGGTTAACTAAACCGAACTTTGACAGAGAACTCAAGAATAGAAAACCTGTCCTAAGTCTGTCAGCTCCTACTTTGACAGATTCTTTTAGGTCTTTTTAGGTTTTTACCATTTTTTATTAGTTTTGCAAGACATCCGCCAAATCCTTCCTTACCCGCCACTGTTGGGTGGGCTTCTTCTCAAGCTGTACATTTGTCAGGCACAGTCCGCGAATCCAAATGCTCTTCTCAGAAACCATTTCCTTAGCCAGGCTTTCTCTTCCACGTTCCTTACCTTCAAGGAGCAGATGTATGGCTAACTCTACCCTCGTACCTGTGGACTTCAGTACTAATACCTTGGAGGCTCCTTGTGACAGGGCCATTTGTGCCTGGGAGGATCTGAGGGAAGGGGCTGCTTATGCCTCCTGTGAAGGCCATATCATTTCTCCTGGTGCATCCTTCCACTGGAGCTCCTCCTGCCCACAGTGGGCTTCCTGCCTTTCCTGCCTTGCTAGGCTTTCAGTTGGCCAGAGGGTGGAGGCTAGCACTGGCCCAGACATGCTGTGGACTGTTCTTTTGATAACAGCTGCCACACCAGGCTATCAAAAGCCAGGCAGTACATCAGATTGTGGTGGGGCAGGAAGGGGGAGAAAAATTTTAAACTCAAAAGCATATGGAAGTGATTGTTGATAAATCAAAATAGATTAATTTAAAAAAAAAAGAGCCAGGAGTGGCCCCAGATTAATTCTGTTCTCATGACCTCTTAAGTCTGGCCATTGGCCCGAGGCCTTATGTCATTGAGAGGTCCTTAGCTAAAGTCTGCCTCTCTTCTCTACCCCAACTATAAATGATTTTGAGCCTAGGCAAGGAAGGTCCTTGTCCTCCCCTCACCTGGTCTACATGCCTTTCTTTATTGTATTTACTGGTCACCAGCCAACAGTCTGGGAAGAACCTCAGTCTGCCTACATTTATAAGTAATGTTATGTCACTGTAGCTGTGGTCAGGGCTTCAGTAAGTACCTGGATTAGCTCTGATGAGCCTCAGGTTCAATCCTTTTGGTTCCTTCTTTATCGTGATTTTAGGAAATGGAGACTTTGTGGGGATCTCTGCACGCCCCGACCCAAGCCCTGTCTTGTAACTAAACTATGGCTCTTTCTTCAGTAGTGTCACTCCTTGAAATGTCCAGTGCCTTTGAATGAGATGCTGTGGTTTTGTTACAACTAAGATTATTCTTGAACTTTGGTTCAAGTAAAATGGGGGAGTCAGCAGTGGGGTGCACCTGAGAGGGGGGCCACCTCATTTTGGAACAGAGCTTTTCATTCTCTGAAGTCATGGGAAAGAGAGGTGGGGGTATTTGACATGAGCTTTGACAGTCTGGCAGGTGTGTTCCTGTACTGGGGAGGCTCAGACCGGAAGGAAGACTTCCCAAACATTTTCACCCCTTTCTCTTGCTATCTTTGTGTACTCCTCGTTCTGTGGATGAAAATGATAGGGCTACTGGGCAAAGGAGTGTTTGTGGAACTGGTTGGGGGGAGCCAGCTTGCTTTGAGTGTCTGAAAAGGAGGAGACTTCTGCTCATGAATACCCATAGGCCTTTGTGAGTCTGACTGCAGTGATGGGGGCTCCCAGGCAGAAAAGCTGACTGGGTCCTTCGGGGCCGTTGGATGGAATGGAAGGGATAAGAAATATGTACAAATTAAATCTAGGAAAGCATTTTTATAGTTCAGGAGACAGTGAGGAGTTGGTACAGAGGACTACCCAAGGATTTCAGCGGAGAGCAAAAGTGTCTCCACTGCTTGTTTTTTACCAAGTAGATGTGGCTGAAGTAGGCATGGGCAATGTGTGTGCACCTGGGCAGACACACTGAAAAGGGTGAGCCTGCCGCTGAGCACGAGCTCCAGAATTTAGTCCAGTCACGTCAGATACTGTGGGCTCATCCTCTTGGCTCCGACATCCGGTTTCCTGTGGGGCCTTGGCAGGGCTAGCTTGCTTGGCTTAATTAACCCTTCTTGTGTACTCTGACTCCTTAGAGGTCAAAAACCAGAGGCTGTTTGAACTGAGTTTTGCCTCATTGACCAAATTTGAATAAACAAATATGGGTTTTTTTTCAAAATATGTAAGCAGTAGAGCGTAAGATTGATGTTATTTTATTTTTTGTACATGTGGATGCCCTTGCAGAATTCCTGTTCCCTTTAGTGCTTCAAAATAGCAGTTACTTTTGGAGAGTCTAATAAAGGTTGTTTTCTTCATCAAATCAGTGTTGAAATTTAGAGGGGTAGCTTGGAAGTAGGTAATTTTCTTTTCAGTTCTGCATATTATAACTGCCTTTTTAAAGGCAAATCACTGCAGAATTTGCATTGTAGGTGTTGACAGTAATGAGGACGTTTAGCCCTTTCCAGTATGCTGAACACAGTGACAGAAGAAATGGTTTGTGAATAGAAGTAAAGGCTTTTGTAGCTTTCTGTGTGGCAATACTGCAGTGCCTGGGGCTCAGAGAAGGTTTGCTACACAGCAGCAGCGTCGCCATCATCAGCTGCTGTGGAGATTCCTAAGAGACTTTGGGATTTGCATTGTCCCTCTGCCTTCAGCCCCACAGCCAAGGCCCAGGGAGATTCCCCCTTGGACAGCTCCTCCAGCTTGAGCACCCACTCCAGAAGCTTCCCCTTGGCGTGGGCAGCCCCGCCCAGTCGGGTTCTGCTCTGGCTCTCCAGCCTGCCTGGCAATTTCTCTGCTTCAGGTGCTCTGTGTTGCACCCAAATGGGCCTGCCCCTCATTTCCCATGGTGACCTTCCCTCTTCCACTGCTGTGCCTTTGCAGAGACTGCCCCTCGCCTCCAGCAAGCTCCCCATCTAGTGCCTTCCCCTACCCCCCTGTACATTCCCTGCCATTCTCTGTCTTCACTCACCTGTCTTGTTCTCCTCCCCATTAGAGCCAAAGTTCTTGGGAAGAACCACTTGTTTATTTTTACCTCCTAGCACAGTGCCCCACCCACAGGTGATGCCTGATATGTGTTTGTTGGGTGAATGAATGGAAAAGACATGTCCTTGCCCTCATGGAGGACAAGGCCAGTACCCACACACACAGACTGTCCCAGCGTGTGTGTGTGTGTGTGTGTGTGTGTGTGTGTGTGTGTGTGTGTGTGAGTGAGAGAGAGACAGAGAGAGAAGGCTACGTGGTCTCTGAGAGCCCTTCTAGTTCTAATGGGCTCTTAGGGTTTGAGTCCTTAAACAAGGGATGTGGTAAGTCCATCTGAGGCATCCTCTGGAGCCCCTGGGACACACTGGAAGGAGTA